TTACATTCTCACTCCCTTTTTCTCTCTGAAGTTTACTACTTGGCAGGAGAGGAACCCTCCAGGCTGTCTCTCTGGTATTTCACACGTCACATAGCTGAACCCTCCCCTCTGGACATTTCTCATGCCCCTAGAAGCATTGATAAATCTAATCCCTATATCTCAGTTTAAACTGGCTAAGAAATCCTTCACCAAGAAATACGAATAACATAAAAATATGATACCTATATACAGAACCTCATAATCTCTCCCCATTTACAACACACAAGTGAATAATTTTCAACTGCTAACTACCATCTTGCTCAGATTTTAAAATGCACCAAACTTGGGTCTGGTTTCATAAAGACTGAACATGGGTTATAAAATACAATCAAATTAAGGCAGCAGTTAACCATAGGTACAAGTAATTTCAGGACAAAAAGTTTTACAGAGATGTTGCTGTTACCCACAAATCCAGCTACATATTCAGGTTTAAAATTAAAAGAAACTCAGAAAGAGCGAAGGAGAAAACACACGTTTAAGGCACCAGCACAACCTGAAGTCGACTGTGATATTCTGTGGTAACCCTGTACTTCAGCTAATTGATTTTAGTGGGTTTGATCCCAGCTGACATTAAGCTGATTTAGAGAGGCAGCAGATTTTTGCCCACTTCCCCCTCTGGTGAAGAATGCGTAAGCAAGCCCTCCAAGTTAGTGAAGCAGAGCATCAGTCATGTATGCACCATGTTTGTAAACATTGCGCTCAGCCTGTATTTCTGAGAATGACACCTCCCTAACGCTACTCTGCTACTCTTCTAACGAGCAGACCGAGAGCCCTTGGATCACAACCAAGCTCCTTTATCACTTCACCAAAACCAAACGTTTTCCTTTCACGTACACGTTGCTACCGATAACGGTGCAACAAGCCCCCACGCACCCCGAGCACTCATCACCACCGTGCTGCACGCATCACGAGGTGGGAATTCAGGGTCAGCAGCACACCAAGAGCCTGAGCGAGCCAGCGAAGAGGAGTAAGCCATGCTTTACCTCGCAGCCGCAGGAGTGCTCAGCCAGTCTGACACTGTTAGGAAGAGGCTTCAGCACGCACCCCCTCACTAGATATTTCCATACAACAGAGCTTATTAGAAAACAAGGCTTTGTGATCTCCTCTATTGCTCCTGGAACATCAGTGAGGAACAAAGCGATTATAAAAAGGCAATCAGATATCTCTCCTCCCCACAAATCCTAGGAGAAACTATTATGGCCAATGCACAGATATCCTTTATACTGCTTTACCTCCCTGGGACACAGGCAGACACTGAGGAAAGGGAAGCTGCACAGACAATCTCATGTACAGGCATATACTCACTCATCCAAAACTCTTCCCCCTCTCCCCTCACATCACCATTTACTCCCATGAACTATCTGTAGCTGATGGATAAATCAAAGCTGACAGTCCCACCTCCTCAATACAACCACCAGTGTAACAGGACAGCTGAGTTACATGAGTAACATGACATGAGATCTGTGTCTACGGATCTCCTCAGAGTCTTTATTGAAAAATGGTTGTTTTAAAAAACCTCTGTGTTTTTAACCTGATTTGCAGTGGCTCTAACTTGTGGCACCTTGACTATCCAGCAGCCTGCCAATAACCCTGCCTCTGCTTAGACTTCAATGAACTGGAAACACCCCAATCACAAGATTTGGCACTGTGATGAGGTAAAGCATTTTAAATCCAAGTACTTAAATCTGCAAAAGTATCAGTTTATCTCATCTATCTCTCTTATACATTGCAGCAGACAATCACTGAAATTAAGACATTACTTTGGTGTCCCCTGGTAATTGTTTTATTCTGAAACCACAAACAGCAAGGATATGTAAGGATATTTGTGTACTCTTCATTTGTAACTACAGCCTACAAGTTCCCTATGCTTTTAATTCCTTTAGCATGACTGAACTCTTTGGGGTAACTAACATTATCCACCATTAAAAGAACTTGAGTGCCTCTCTCCCTTTCCTAGGGACATGCCACTTGCATACAAAAACTCAGAACATTTACCCATGTGGAGTACCGCACTTCCTAGTTACTGGATTTTGGAGCAGGAGGCAAGAACATTCCTTGTTGCCCCTGACGAGGGCAGAAGAACTAGAATAGCTTTACTCATGTTTGTCCACATTACCCAAGGTCTCCTCGCAGGGGACAATCTGGGTTTTTTGGCCAACTTATCACCCCCAGCCCTTCTTTATATACAACAACACAAGACTAAGTGGAACTTTCGATTTACCATCGCAGATAAGAACATCCACTACAGAAAGCCCTGAAGAACTGTAAGTTCAAACCAGCACGCAACACATGAATCCTCTGATTCTGCAGGGACTACTCTCTGAGGGTGAGGTACACACTTGTTTAGAGCTGACAATATGCTTACACTGATCTGAAAGCTAAGGCAAGTCCTGCCTAAGTTTCAGACAGCTGCTCAGAATAGAGAACCTAGTGGGGAAGAGAAAAGGGGTAACAACACACAAGGTTGACGTGCTTTAAACTGACATTTCATTAGCTTGCTTTTCTTGAACTTTAGCAAAGGCATTCTTAAAACAAGAAAGCACAAGCAGAAGCATCAGAAGTATGAATGGAACAACAGGGAAAGCAGAGAGCAGAGCTGAAGTGATTTGTAATTTTGTGTTATGTTAGGTTTTAATATTGAAAATAGCAGAAGAGGTGGAATAATGGGGACAACAGACACTGTCTGGGCAGAAGATGTGGATTCCCTGAACAAGTTCCTTGCCACAGATCCAGTGAGAACAGCAAAGAAAAGATGTGCTATTTGTTTCATGAAATTGAAAAAAAAAAAATCCTCACATGAGTGTTGCACACAGGATGAGGAATTCATAAGAAAACCAAATCCAGAGCATTGAATTCAGAGCCAAAGCAGAATATTCCAATCCACTAGGAGTTACCATATTCAAAGTGCAACACACAGTCTTGAAAACACAGTATACACTGAATAATTTGCAGAAGTTTCACTCAGAACTTGTGAACTGCGGGTTTGTCTCGGGTGCAAGTACTATAGTGTCAGGAAACAGCAAGTTTCTTGCAGGACATGAAAGAGCAATGCTTGAGATAGTTACATGAAAGCTGGGACTGTGCTACTCTTCTACATGCCAGCTGCAGCATGGTAGTTCTAGCATCAGGATAGAATTTGATCCCTGGCAGCAATCCTGCTTCCAGAGGTTGCAGGAGAAAGCTGTGAGCACAACAAACTAACATTTTCCAAAGACATCAAGCTCCTCTTTGTCCTCTCACTCACATTACCTTCACCCCAATCTCTGTTGCTTTATTTCACATTTCTTTCTCAATAAAGAGATGGTTTCTTGCAAGGCATACACATACCCCATGAGCAGTTAAGGGGACAGAAAGGAAATTATATGGGAGCTCTCAACAAGCAGCAGAGGCTCTAGTGTTTAATTTTTATACTACTTGTGTTAGATTATATAAGAAGCTCTCTGCATGTCCACAAAGGAGCACAGAGAGACAGTGGCGGGGGAAGCCCAAATAATACTCTGCTGGGATGCTCCCAGGCCCATCACAGGACAGTCACCAGACTATCAGAGGTCCATTTTGCAAGTCCAGAGGAGGAGAAGGGCACAATGGCAGGTAGGAAGCCAAATTAAGGACTCCACGGAAGGGACACCCTGTCTGGTTGCCTCCCAGGGCTGTCCCAGCTCAGCTTTAGCCCCACTGTCCAGGCCTGAAACCCAGGATGAGTCACTGGGAACAATAATCTGCATTGCCTCTCGGACTAAGAGGGGTCGTTTCCCAGGGGTGTGGGACACTTTACGGGATGCTGGGGAAGAACATTTTGAAAATTTACAGTCTACATTAAAATAGTCAAAACTCAGTTGAAGATCTCCAACAGAAAAAAAACTGTTACAGAACAAGACAGCAGCATTCTTACGGAGTCAGAACTAAACCAGCACACAGGTTGGGAATGATGAGTATTTGCCCCACCCCCTTTTTTTTTTTTTTTTTTTTCAATAAAACATAGTTATGGCAAGTAGCTCACTTAACATTTACAACACATTGGCTTGAGGCAAATTTCACATAACTCATCTTAACCCAGACCAAAATCCCAGATAAAGACTCAGCTTTTAAAAGCACAACTGTACTTAGCCATATACTACGCTATTAAAGACAGCTTTATTTTATTCCCAGAGGTAGTTCCATCAGTTCATCCACCAGTTCTACAGATCTGTCATTACACCAGAAGTAGCATTCGGAAACCATTTTGTTGATTTCAAGAAAACTGGAATGCTAGTTTGTGAGAACATGTTAACTTTTGCTTTCCAAACACAGCAACACTGCCTATTTCAACTCACAGGCAAGACTGCAAAAAGATTCTAGAAAGCATCTTCCACCAAGTAGAGCAGTTTTGAGTAGTTCCGGGCCTTTGCTCTTTCAAAGCACTGCAACACTAGCTTCAGCCTCTAGCCACACAGCTACAGCAGCCTTTCACTCCTACCTGTGATGTGAAAACAATCCCTGAATTGGACGCAACTCACAAGTATGTAAGACATCTGGAAAAACTGCCTTTGTATATGTTGAAGTGCATCATCTATTTGAAGAAGCTGCAGGAGACCTTCACAACCTATAGTTCTTCTCAATATACAATGCAAAAAGTGACACATCTCCATTCTCCATGTATTTCAGGAAATGGTCAGTTATAAGCAGTAAGCTATGTAACCTTTACAGCTTAAGAATGCATTTTCACAGTGCATCATGTACTGTTCCTAGGTTAAGACACTATACCTATCATGAATGCCACTGCTAGTCCTGAATGGATTTTAAACTACATTCCAGCAGTCATTTAAATCACCATCTACACATAAGGAGGATCAACCCTACAATACTGATACAGAAATTCCACATAATAATACTAAACATTTTTCAAGATGTATTTGAAGTCAATGCTGTTTGCATTTCACACAGAAATATGGGACTATATTTAAAGAAATTCCTCAACCTTATCAGTTGATTTCTATTCATTTTATTGTAAAATAAATACAAACCAGAGCATTTTTACAGAAATATATAACAAAGCCCAGTACTAAGTTGATACGGTCTACCTAGAAGTTTTAGAATAGCACCATTAAGTCAGTTTCACAGAGAGGAAAAAGTACAGCAAGAACCTTAAGGATGCTTTCTAATCAAGGTTGTACAGAGGAATCTTAAAGTCCAGACAGTCTCAGATAGACAGGATTATGCTTCTTCACAAATTTCTTCAGTATACGAAACCTCTTCACTTGAGCTTTGCAGCCTTTGCGTGACACATATTTAAAGTACTTGCAATCTAAGGAAAAAAAAAGCATTGTAAGTTATATCATGATACAAGCAAATACTAAGTGTTTTCTTTGTTTAAATAACATGCAAGCATCTAAGAAAGTTTTCAGTATAAAAGGTAATAATCCAAGACATGCACATTAGAGACATAACTGCAGCATTAAATATCCATCCTCATTTGACCCAGAAAACATTCTACATGTATATAACTGTATGCTGTGTCTTGAAAAATATTTTCTTCTGTCTTTACTCTTCAAATAGATCAGAAAGTAAAATTTCAAGAGTTTAAAGCAGCATTGATTTCATGCATTTTTCCTTATGCAACACAATAAATTACAGAGGCTCATATTGACACCAGTAAGCGCAGAAACGTCGTTAAAGAAAATTAGAACTGGAACAATTTTATTAGCCATCTGGAAATAAAAGCTGGGAGACGTTTGGTAACATATTACTGAAAGCAAAAAAAGACTTTTGAGATGAGAAATTGTTTTTTGAAGGCCAGAGGATAAAATGTTATAGAAAAGCTGACAACAAGTTGTCTATCAACCACAAGTCCAAAAAAGTGTACGAGCCACAGTCTCCACACCATATTCTCATTTTCAATTTAGCAGCTGCTTCTTGGCCCAATACTACTCTTGGTTTCGGCAGCATTTCACAGAATGCTGTGAAATGCTGCCAAAGGTCATGATCTTCACCTTCTTATCAAACTGATGATGGTTTTCACTTAAGACTCACCCCCACCACCTCCTCTTTCCTGCATTACAACTCCCCCATGGTCCTTAATGGCTCCCCAATATTTGCCTAGGCAGGCTGGCATCCAACAAGCAAACTCTCTGCAATTCTCACAACATTCACTCAGGAGCACGTTGTGTATTTTTTAAATTGCGGTTTGAAGGTTAAACAACGAAATAAATAGTATTGTGACTGCTCAACATGGCCGGATAAAACAGAATTGTAAACCAGGATAAGACAAGTTATGCAAAATATGCCTCACTGTCAAGTATCAAATCAATTTAAAGATTTTTCTCATGTTCAGCTTCAAAAACAATAGTCTTCCCTAGAAAAAGCACACTGCGTTTCTCTCAAGGCGTAGATCAGCTGCATCCTGTCTAATTAGGCGTAGAACTAGGCATTATTTTTGTTCTATGTAGTGAAAAGGAAAGAACATTTAGTATTACCCTTTCCCAGTAAGATTCCAGCCACCAGAGCTTTTTGATAGGAAAGGCTTTCATTTTCCTTCCAATTCTTTTTTGCCAGAAAAGAGCTAAAATGAAAGGCTGGCCACCAGTCCTTTCTGGAGCTCCATTCTTTCTTGATCCAGTTAAGATGCTTCTCAGAGCTGCAAAAAGGTAAATCAGTTACTGAAAAACTTACATCGGAATGAAAGATGATTAAGAAGCACTGAATTTTATAATCAGCTTGCTACATGTCTCAAATTGCTACCATAGACACTGACCTTACAGTGCAGACTGAAGCACTAATCTAACAGAAATAACCTTTTCTTTTTTTCCTTAATCCCTGGCAACACTAGCGAGGCAGGAGGCAAACTCCAGCAGTCTTATTTAGGCTTGGCAATATCACAGATTATGGTGCAAAACGAAGCAAGCCTCTGATTTGTGTGCCAGTTTGTCAATAGTAATAAGAAAGTTTCTTCAAGTTTGTCAACAAATTAGTAGTATGAAGGGGATAGTTTTAGAAAAGGCTTGTGTTAGTCTATGCATACTCAAAGACTAACTTATCCCAAATACTTATCCCAATAACTGTTATGCAATAAAGACCTTAAACCAAGCATTTCAGAAATAGAAACTACCTACAACAGGGAAGTGATACTCCCTGAAAACAACAAAGATGCCCAGTGTATTTCAAGATACTCTGAAGTCGTGTCTTCAAATACAAAAACGCAGGCAAAGTTAAGAGTATTCATACCATTTTTACTAACTCTATGCAACAACACTCCTAAACTTTAATCCACTAGCTTCTGGACCTTAACAGCAGATGCTGTGTAGGTGGAGGTGGCAATAAAACAGCAAAACAGGTCAAAGTAAGTCCTGAATTAATTTACTGTAAATTTTTAGGGCTTAAAAAACACAACACCCTGTTTGTTGAGTAAAATAAAGTCTAGACACTAGGAGGCCTCCTGGGCACAGATTGCCTGAGATGGTTTCTTCTGAAATCAGAGGCCATGTCTGTCAGTGTTGACGAGGACACATCAATCTCCAGGAATATTGGCTCAGCTTTCAAGAATACATTAGCTGCATTCTGTAACACCTACTCTCATCCCACACCACACTAGTCTGTACAGTACCAGCCAGGCCCCTGTTGCAGCCCAGCAACTCTCAAACCAGCTTCAAATAATGCACGCATAGTAACAGAGCAGAAGACCCAACAACTTGGTTTTCTCACACCCCCAAAGAGGGAGATTAGTGACAAGCAGCAAATGCTACCCAAACATCCAAGTAACTCTTTATGCAGAAGCATGTAACTTGGTAAGATTAAAAAAAAAAAAAAAAAACCAAAAACAAAACCCACAACTTTTTTCAGGCAATGACAATACTAGAAATTTGGAATTCTCCTCAACAATAATTTTTTCTTTCCTCCCAAAGAAAGCACACTGCAGTCAAGCGGCATCACAGAACTCAGGGTAGGGCAGATGACACCTCCACTCACCAGCACAATGACAAAGGCTACAGTGTCACTTTGTCAATTGCCCGACACATTTGTTCTTAGCACACTGCATCAGAGATACTTACATTACAATTTGTTTCATCTGTCTTGCTAAACAGCTCCATGCTTTTACATTTTTGTTACAGCCAGCATAATCCAACACTGCAAAAATAACTTCCAGCCCCAGTCGACGTCTTTTTCTTTTCTCTGGAAAAAGATTAGGCTGATTAATGGATTACTTAGATGGGGATGAACTCATTAGTAAGCAACAAGTGAAATACAGTTCTCCATCCTGCCTCCTCCAAATGCTGCTACTGTCCTTATTACTGAGGGCTCCCCCCATCACCTTCTGCCTCTTCCAAGAGACAGAGTTAAGGAATACTTCCCAGCTCTAGAGCACAACTCATACCAGAGACACTCTGTTGCTACTGCCATCCTGCTCAAAAACTGATGACTCAAGAGGCATATGTCGGATCACTCACTCACTCAGCCCACGCTGCCTTGCTTACAAGAGTTGGTGTTCCCAAAGCTCGCTAACCAGAGCTTCCAGCTGGCACCACTGTTCAACGCGTTCTTCCCATGGGAAGGGAACACAGTGCCTCTGGGGCACTTCAAATCCTGAGATGCCCCCCAAAAAAATCAAATCTGGGGCTGCTATGAATCAAACAGACATTTCACATCAGCAGTTCTGTATCAGCAGAGTTCTTAAAACAATGCTTGACCTATCACAGCAGGTAAATGTGGGGAAAGTTATCAGTATAAATTTATTCAAAATTCAGACTGTGCTAATTAGCTATGAAAACGTGTCATGCATAAACAGAAAAAATGATGTTTCAGACAGGGGGTTGTTTTTTCCCCATCTCAAAGAGGAAAAGCAGAGAAAATACTTATTCATTTCACCAGTCAGACCTTCTGGAACATACCAAGACAAGACACAGGTTGCAATACAATTGAACAGTATGGAAAAAAAAAAACAGTCTCTGCATTGGAAGACTTTCCTACCATCCTGAAGATAAAACTCCCTTGAAGAGGAAGATTTTGTTCTTTGATCAGTAACAATGAACTAAAGCATAGATCCATCTCAGCTCCTCCAGGGAGAGAGGATAAATAAATCAATCAGAGACCCCAAAAAGGGAATGGGGACCCTTGCATTCATAGGAGGGTACTACTACAGAAAAATCTTTAAAGTTATTTTTGAGATCCTGGCTGTGCCTTACAACAGTTTGCTTTGATCAGCCTTTGAAACAAGAAAGGCATTTGTTTACAGAAGTTTGTAAATGCATGCTCACACATACAATTCAAAGGTTCCTGTGATTGGAAAGTTGTGTTTGGGTTGTTTGTGGGGTTTTTTTTGTTTGTTTGTTTGTTTTTGTTTTGTTTGTTATTTTTGGAGGAGTTTTTGTTTGGTTGGTTTTTGTTTTTTTCCTTAAACCAGAACTATTTCAAAAAGCAGAAAGAAGGCTGAAAAATAATTTCAAAATACTCTTCTAGATTAACACAAAGGAACAAAGCAAAGGTACTTAAAGACTTACTTGATTTTTGAAGCATGAGATTAAAATCTATCATCAGTATATGAGAAGGAACGGTGTTATGCAAAATCTGAAAAACAAAAATAAAACCAGAAAACCCAGATACATTATTTTAATATGAAAACTTTTGAACGTGACTTCTAGCTGATCAAGAGAATCACAGGCTTCAGAATTCTAGTTAAGAAAATTTGGTTAATTTAGTTAAGAAAATTAAGCAGTCTGATTCCTTAGTGCGTTGATATAAAGAATTAATATATCTAGGTCCATTTTGCACATCTGTGACACTACTGACAGTGAATGAAACACCCTGATGGCTGCTGAAAAACACTGCATATGACAAATACAACATTGTCAAGGAACAGCCCAAACCTACATCCAGTGCCCCCTTTTTAGAAGGCAACATAATTTCCTTCCTAGGCCAGTTCTAGCTCCCCTGTCTATTGGTCTGGGCATTGGATCACAGTTTCTGGCTTACCAAACCAGTTCTTTCATTTGTCACTACCTTGTAAGAAATTAGCATCTAACACCACTGCTGAAAAGCACCGAGGAGATGGAGTTTTATACATATATGGTACAGTTTAAAGTCTAAACTTTATGAAGCTGTTCTAAAACATCTGCCTTAACGAAAGCATGTTAGTGCCATCAAGTGGTAAAACAGATTGCAAGAAGCTACCAAAATGAATGAGCAAGGGCAAGGAAAGCAAGAATTTAAAAGCAACTACACAAAAGCTTAATACAGCAAGGCCTTGTCTGCCAACAGCCAGCAGAAATTAACTTCTATTTTAGATCATTGAAAACAAGCACAGAAACTAATTGCTAGACAAGATTGAGATGTGAAAAAGCAGGCATCGAATAATTTCTTCAATATTGTAAAAATCAAAATGTAGCAGAAGCCAATGCATGTTATGTACAAACAAGACTGCTGATACAGACTTCTGGAACCCCGTAAACACCTTCTCTGAGCTTGCTTACTGACCTGAAGAAGTTATATGATGCATCGGTTAAAGGCAAAACAAAGACTTGAATTCAAAGACAGTAAAGGGTACCTTAGCATTCCCCCCACTAACTTTCCTTTAACTCTCTGCTTCCCACAAAGAATACAATAGGGTAACCAATGTTACAGGAGCAACCGGACCAAACTGTCAGACCACCATGCAACGTGAATGACCCCAGATTATCTACTATATAACATATACCTTCAGTGCAGATATGCGTGATTTCTTAGATTCACCATTCCTCTTCAGGAACTGATAGAGGTAAGCATGAGCATTGGGATTAGCAGGAAACTTTGGGTTGTAGGCATATTCATTTAATACCTGGCGGGCTTCGTCAAGGTCTCCATAGAACTCCAACATCTAAGAGAAGTTAAGTCCATCATTAGTTTGCCATGTTAGCAATCAAACTCTTACAACTAAGTTTGGGCTGCCACAGAACTATCCAATAGCATGGTCTGTATCTAAAAGAGTGCAGTGTATTAGATAAGACTAAGACTAGTGTTTTCATTTTACTGGCTACTCTTATCATAGGTAGACAAAAATTCACACATAGAAGCCGCTACAGGAGAAAATTCCTTTAACACTTACTTAATTGTCAAAGAACTACCAGCACTTGCTCACTGGAAAAAGACACTGAAGCAGCCTGCCACGTGTTGAGAGAACATGGCACTGTCAACATCATGCAACATTCCCTAAAATATGCTTAGTTTATCAGCATTTACAAAAAGTAAATAACTTCGAAAAGATTATGTTTATTTCCTAATTACAAATTCAAAGCAGATATTTAAAAAACCCCAAACCAGAACACATAGGGACTGCGCGTTTGATGTCTTGCATATTTAGCATATCCAGAAAAACACTGCCCTGCCAAAAAGAGAGAACTTGTTTTCAGGAGTTTAAACAAAGCAGCTGTGCTCCAATTTCTGTACTAGCACCGTGAAAACAAAATACGCAAGCTGTCTGTCTACTTCTGTTTCTTGACAATGCACAGATAAAGTCCTTTTTGTACTCTGTGCAGGCTCTGCACTTCTATCAGGAGTAAACTGTGCTCTAAATCAAAGCCCGTGGGATACACTTACAGATGTATTGCTTTAAAAGTACTTTGTTATCACCCACACCCAAAAAAAAATCTGCAGATACTTTAATGAAAATTAGACAGGGAAAACACGAAAGGAAGATACATCTTTAAAATATGCCCTTACATCCACATAACCTTTCACAAAGGAATCCCAGATTCCAGGTATTTTAATAATCTCCTTGAAGTTCACTGCTGCCTTCCGAAAGCAACTGTGCATTTCCTGTTCAACAGACAAATCTTCAAAGCCATCCTGACCTACCAAAACATGAAAGAATGCCACAAAGTTAGCTCTGCTAATCAAAATGGATCTTGAAGTAACGCACCTAAGAGATGATCACATTTTGCTAAAGAAGGACTCAGCTTTTAAGAAAAGAGGCTTCAGTTACCTCAGTATTGAAATTTTCACTGCTCTTCATTCAAATTTATTATCACCCAATTCCTACTTATGGGGAGTGACAAGTAGTGTTCCAAGACAAGATGCTACCAGCACAAGGGCCATAAATCAAATCCAATACTTCACTTTCACAGAAACAAGTAAAGATCTAATGTAACCAATAACATACAGCCAGAAGGTACATGCAGAATTAGATGCCACACACAAGTAGCAACTTACATATTTTTAAAGAAACTGAAACTCAAACACAAGTTTGGGGGGGCTCGTGCTAGCACTCAAATTTCTAGCAGCAGTCAAGCACTTAGGCACCTATTAATCCAGTTATAAGTAAATACCTTCCTTTGATCATGATTTTAGGTGGTGCTGAAATGTGATTCAGGGGGACAAAAAGCTTCAGAACAGTGTTTCAGGACACTTCAGAAAAGTGCAGGTCAGTGTGTCACTTTGGCACCACCATCACTGCTGAAATAGAATTGCGTACCATCCCTGACATTAAATTTTGAAGTCTGGTAAAAGAAAAGGTGTCATCGTAAACCCCGGTGTCTACAGGAACAAGCAAGTTGAAGTTTAGAACTCGATACAAAAACACTTACCACGCTCTAACAGGATGTCCCTCAGCTTAGACCAGCGATTATAGTCCAACAGGGCCCTGTAAGCCTGAATCAGTTTCATATCTCTATCTTGACTGGCTGTTCGTTCTCCATACCTCCAGCTTTCTGCCTCAGACAGGATTTCGTAAGCTTCATCTATTAGTCCATTACAAAGGAGATGAAAGGCATGCTCTAAGCAAATCTGCAATTCAAACAGTTCAGATCACAGTGTTTCACATCACAAATGGAGAGATTCACAGCAATACATCAAATTTCTACACAGATGTGCAGGGAAAGAAGAGACTCATTCCTGATTTGCATAAAAAAATACTGCAAACATGGTTAGTAAAGTATTTTAATTAGAAGAGCACTTTACACGTATTCGTTATCCAAACAGTATCTTTACAAGGAATTTTGGAGAAAATTACAGGAATGGGAGTATGTAAGTGTCACTGGAGGCAAGGAAATGAACCAGAAACCTAAGTAATTTTTTCTGGCTGGAGAAACATTAATAATTAAAAGCATATCTGATATACAAAGATGTATCCCTGGGTTGGGAAAGGGTTGAAGCTCTTGAAATCTGTGGGGCAGAAAGTCAACCCTCAGGCAGTAGACACTCAGTGGCACTTATCAAGGCAGCAGAAAGCAGCTGTCTCAAAAATCTGCCTGTCATTAACAAGTGCTGTACCAATTTAAGAAGATCCAGAAACGACCTGAGGAAATCCAGCTGGGTTACATTTGCTGATTTTTCATTTGGCTACCCACCTGCAGAACACCTGAAAGAGGAATGTCCTACCACACTATCATGTTGATTAGGCACTGGATAAAAGTCTAAACCTTCAGCTAGCTCTAAAAAAATCTTGTATACAACTTCTGTTGGAGGCCTTGAACAATCGAATGAAAGACAGAAGCATCATCACAAGTGAGAAAGGGTCAAGGAAATCAAACCAATATAGGTTTGAATGAGCCACCACAGGAAAAAAAAATACACCTGGGTAACACAGGGCACCACAGTATAAGGCCTACTGTTTTACATACAGATTAGATATTCAAAAAGTAAGCGGACAGCTATGGCAAAATTTAAGTACAACTGTTTAGTCATGAGCACAGTGAACAAATTAAGGACTGGAAACAAAACTTGGCAGGTGTTAACATGTAATAAGATGTTACTGGGGCATGCATGAAGAAGAATTTAGCCATTTCAAATTAAAAGATTAATTAAAGGATCTAGGCACTTCTAATGACTGACAATACACACCTGTGATCAAGTATGTAGACCAAATGAGATATGGTTAGGGCTAGAATAACTCTTAAAATAGCACTTCATTGGTAACTCAGATGTATTATCTTCTTTTGACACGATTGTCAGTAATGCATTTCAGAAGAGACGGTCAAAAACTAATACTCAAGTAAGTGTTCAGGTAAACGTGGAAAATCATCAAGACTGCATTAAGTACACTCACCTTCAAATACCTTTTTACTCCTAAAGTTTTCATTTGTTCTATGAAAGAGTTGAACTCTTTCATGCTGCAATGGCTTTGGTACAAAATTTCAGTTCCTATTCTCCAAATAGTCTGTTAACAGGGAAAAAGAGATTAAAAAAATAACCTCAGTACAAAAATGGCAACAGTCATCATATATACGGTCTTATCAAACATAGTTACTGTAACATGAAAAAATGCACATTTGAATTGCAAATAAAAAATACTAAGTGTTATCTACTGCTACAGTAACCTACATTATTCACCTAGTAGGACTTTTACAATCACTCAGTGGATGCTTCATAATAGCTCATTATACATGCAGCACTCCAGCAAAGCTTATGAAAACTGCATTTCTCAGAAGGTTGTTCCTCCTGTTACTGAAAAATTATGTTTTCCTTTGATATGATCCCACTGACACACAAGGTATACATATTTCTTTGAACTTCGTAATAAAGATTATCTCCAATTAGATGTAGGCTTTCCATCTATGTGCACTTGTTTTCAAGGTCTGCCTTCACAATGCAACCAAATATTCCAGCAAGCTAGCCATATTTGAATACTCCATTTTTTTAACAGCTCTGAACCCTTTCCTCCTGCTTCTATCCAGTACCTGTTAGGAGTTTTACAAGTACTGGGGTAGCTGGTAAAGACCTAAATAAGCCACTACCTTTCAAACAGATTCTGACTGATGGCATGCCAGTGGCAAACATTTAATGCTTTTCCATTTTAGAAGACTACTTTAAGATGACTTTTCGTAGATATGCTCCTGATGGAATTAGCTTATATCAAGCCAAGTCTTCATCTGTTGTGTCAAGGGCCTATGTGAAAAAAACAACAAAAAACAACAAAAAAAAAAAAAAAAAAAACTGCACAAAACCAGCCTGTAAGCATAGAGAACTTTGCAGAAGCCCTGAGCATTCTGTCAAGAAAATCATCAGACAGCACTACAGATTCTCAGCAGAATTTGTATCTATCACTATCCCTCAAAGTGATATTTCAGCAGAATTCAAGCTCCAGCAAGATTAGTTAAACCCACAGCAGAGGTATGCCTGTGCAGAGGCAGATTTCTGGTGAGTAACTAGACAGCATACTGCCTTGAGCACTACCAGTGATGAGGTCTGGTGTACTTTCTGCAGCCTGCTATCCAAGAGTTTCTACATCAGCACCTGAATAGTTGCTTATTTGTTTTGGGAAGCTTCAGTGCTCCCCACTTTAAACAAAAAAAAAAAAAAAAAAAAAAAAAAAAAAAGAGAGAGAGAAACTAGCTTAGTTTATGAAGTTGCCTAACTTTTTCAGCTTTTCTGGTCTTACCTCTGGTACTTTTTTCTTAATTTAAGAAAAAAAAAAAAATAGCCTGTGATTAGTTAAGACAAATGTTGGTCCCAAAGTATTATAGATCTTTCTTTCAAGTAATTTTTCAACTGCAAAAGAACTCTGATAAGGGACACTGACTTACCTCTGATGGACCCACAGGTTCTCTAGAATAGTCCTTCTCTAGTGACTCAACATAGGAGGTCAGAAACTCTGCAGCTCTTTTCCACTGATTTTTCAGCATGGCATCCTGAATGTAATTTAAACACATTTCCTTGCTTTTCTTGAAGGTGAGTTTGTGTTCATCAGAAGGTGCTAAACAAACAAAACGAATCAACCAAGCCCACAACTGTCACAACCCTTATTCAGATAAGGTATCTACCATTTCTTAAACGATCTCTCTCAGACACTACACACGCCTACTTAAACATAGGTGTTAAACACACCTACTAGTCCCCAGTGAAGCAAGACTATGGCAAAAGCTGGAAATACAATATTAAATGGCATTTTCCACAAGCAGCAGACAGCAGCAGACACATGAAACAGTGAAGAGCACTTGTTACACACTACTGCTCTACTAGAATTAGAAGACCATGATGCTTTGATAACTTCACTGTACATTTTATTTTTTGGGGACCGCTCTCCTTGTTAATCATCATCTAAGTTTGCGACCCTGCTGTGCTGAAGATTTGCACAGACACATACAACCTGGGTATTCCAGTAGCAAAGGCTAAGCAATTCCCAGTGTAAACAAAGACAAGCGTAGAGAATTACTCTCTTTTGAATATAAGACTGGAAAGAGGTCACTTACCCTTTTTACATGGATACTGGCTCAACTCCTATTATAGCACCAAACTAAAACCTCATTTCCAAATCTGGTTAAAGCTTGCAGCTGTATGCCATGGTTTAATGCTGACACAGGGAACTAACTGCTTTGCAATTTCTTAACAATCCTGTTTACCTTGAATGTTATTTTGATGCCTTGATTGTTCTTTTGGAACTTGTTTATTAGAGACTGGTGCCTAAGTTTATCAGGGACTGGTATTTGTCAAGGACTGTGTATGAGACACAGGGGGAGATAACAAGAATAACGGTGTCAGCTTGACCATAAAACTGGTTAAAAGGCTGCTGAGATCACCAAGTACAAATAGAGCATGCGTGAATGGCTAAAGCTCATCGAAAGGACAAAAAAGAGGGAGATAAGACCCCTGCAGAAGTAAATGGCCACCAGAGACAGAGCTGAGTCTGTGCAAACTAACCCCACCTCGCTTATACATATGTATATTTGTGTTGCAGCATTTCATGAATATGCATATGTGCACTGCATAAATTTTTGGCAAAGTGTGCTGTTGGAGTGCAGGCTAGGAGGCGCGATCCCCCTTGCACCCAGCGCTGCAATAAACATACCTGCTTTACAACTCTTTGTGAGTTGTACAGTTTGTTTCCACGCTTCAACGTGCCCCTACACCAATCCTCAAGCCACAAGAGCCTTCTGCAAAGGACATGCAGAGCTCACCACACCACCTCCTACCTGGATGCTGTAGGCAAAGGAATAACTCAGGCACCGGCTTGAAGCAATTTTATTACAGTGTGCTCTACAAAATCACTGCTAACCAATCTACCTAGAGGTCTAGTCTTCACACCGATATCCAGCCTCAAAGGTTCCAAGTACTAAGAAAATAAAACCCACCGTGAATACCCCAAGATTAAATACAAGGGCCATGGCTCCTGTAGGTAAGCCCCACTAAGCAAGGTGCTGCCTCCTGAGAGGGGCAGAGCTGATGTAAGGCGTTTCACTACAAAGCCATTTCGAAACAAATTCTCCAGAGGTTTTGCGGCCACCTGCATCCAAAACGCTTTTGTTACCAGCCACCTCCGGGTTGCCCGCAGGCTGCCGGGCCGCGCACCCGCCGCGGCGCCGGGGAGCAGCACTGAGGGCACCGGGAACCCCAAACTCGCCTCTTGGGCGGGAGGCCGGGGGGGGGCAGAGCGGGGGGGGCAGAGCGGGGGGGGCAGAGCGGGGGGGGCAGAGCGGGGGGAAGCGGGCCGGCGGAGCGCGGGGAGCCGCGGCGGCAGGGCGGGACGAGCGGGGGCCCTTACCCGCTCGGTAGAAGGACGGCGGCAGGAAGGGCTGGTACAGGATGGGCGGCAGGACGCTTGCCAACAGCGCGGCGGGGCTCTCCTTCCCCTTCCCCTTCCGCTTCCCCTTCCCCTTCGCCGCCGCCGCCGCCTCCCCCTCCTCTAGGAAGCGGTCCATGGCGCCGCAGGCAAACCTCACTGCCCGGCTGCAGCGGGCGTAGCTCGATCCTGAGGAGCGATGCCGCGGCAGGAGGAACCTCGCGAACTTCCAGCGGAACGCAAGCAAGCCGAATTTCGGCGAGGGAAGCGGGCCGGAGCTGCTCACCGGCCCCGCCCGTTCGCAAAGGGGCAGGCTCGCCGCGCGCATGCGCCATTGGCGCGGCCCTTCCGGGGGGGGGCAGCGCATGCGCCGTGGGAAACATGGTGCGATTGCCGCCATGATGGAAAGGGGAGGCGGGGGCGGGAAGCAAACCTCGCGCGTGGGTGTGGGGAAAGGAGAAACGCTAGCACAGCGGGGACCCGGAGGGATCGGGGAGAGCGTGAGTGGGCAGCTGGGCGTGCTCAGTAGCGCGGCAGAGAGATGTTTAATTCCACGAGTCGCACAGTCGGCAGCAGTGGAACCGTGATGAGTTCGTGGCTGCTCTGAGGGGGGCAGTTCACTAGGTCCCGTTGTCAACGTTTCCCATTAGCTGTATTGGTACTTTTCTGTTAGTCTGTAATTTAGAACATCGTGTTCTACAGAAGCAAAGGGTTCTGAATCAAAATCTTGTGCGTTGTAGAGCAATAATAATGCCTTTGCTCCCGCAGGGTACCAGGATTCTAGGAATCTGCCAGCTTCAACCACAGAATCTGGTTTGTACAAATTTGTGCTGGAACTCGTTTCTTTAAATTACTTTTAGCAACTGCCTTTACCATGGAGTGTTTTGTTATGTGTAAAGTCCAGTTTTCCAAGTAAGAATTTACAGGGTTTTTTTTTCAGAACAGCTCTGCCATGTGAGGGTGAGTAAATAATAAACTGGCTCAGATTAAAGTTTCATGTAATCCAATATCCTGGTTCAACTGCAGTCAATAGCAAGTGTCAAGTGAGACAAAAAACAAAGCAACTGTACAAGGCAGAACAGTTGTTTGTAGCGTCTAAACATTAACCTTGGTATCATACCTTAATATGACATTTAATAAATCTGTATGGGGAGATCAGAAGTCTCCTTTTTTTTTTTTTTTTTTTAATCCAGTGTACTTTCAGCATATGACCGGCACTTCAGCTCATAAGTATTATATCATTAACTGATAGTTAACTTACTTGACTAGATGATAAACTGTTATATACTACTATTTCTTTGATAGTGTAACGTTCTTTGTCTGTCCTTTATAATTTGTACCTCGTTTGAGTGGCTCATTTATCATTGCTATTCCCCAAGAGTGGTGTCACTTCCTACAACATTGCTGATCTTTTGTTAGGTCAAGCACCCTACTTTCACTGTCCAGCTTACTCCCACTTTATTTCTTACATTTCTTACAGTTCTGACATTTGATTGGAAGCACGTTTATATTTGGCTTGTTATTTTTACCTTCCTGTGTCATACATGAGAGTTTTTGCTGATTCTTACCTAAACTTGGCCAACTGATCTTGTTAGTGGGTATTAGTTACTTTACTACATACTTTAGTGCAGGAGAGATTGTAGAACTACTTTGTAACTGTAGGCACCTACAAAATGTTACATGTACAGTGGGACTACTCTCATTGTTGAATACATTTGTTTCCAAGATTGGGGTTGAAGACTAAAGGAAATTTTGTCTGAAATATCTAAATTGAACTATGTGAAATATTTCTCTTTTATGCCACACACTGGGGAAAGCTGGGTATGTTAATAAGTGGGTGCATTGTTACTATGCAGTACTTGAAATTCTAGGGAATGGTAGATGGTTGCAGTGGTAAACTCGTCTATACATATGGACTGCAAGCTACTTGTTATTGCACAATAAAGGAAATGACTTATGTAAGAAGCATGTGAACTTCTTTCTCTTCACATCTCCCTTTCTTGCCCTTGTCTTTGACCACAAACACTGTTACCTTTTATCTTGGTCTTTTAATAAAGATAAACTTGATAACCTTGTACTGATGGGAAATTACCGAACAGCTCTGTTTTCAGAAGCAATTGGGCCTAAAGATCACGCTGGGCATTAAGCCCCAAGAAACGTTGATGTCAAAGGAAAAATTACTTGTCTTTCATTTGTACAGTCATCATAAAACATTACTTGAATATATGTATTTGAATGTTGTAAATTGTGATAAAATTAATCTCTAAATTTTATGAGTTAGGCTTTCTTAGAGCTTTTAATCAGCCGGTATCAGCACTGGGAAATAGGTATCACCTAATTTTAGAGGATGTGAAATACAAAAGTGTCAACAAAATTCAAGGTGTGTGCTACATCTGCGATACTGCACTAGGCCTGGAGAGTATGTGTGAGCACTGGGTGAATAAATCACTGTATTCCTGTAGCGTGTGGATGTTTGTTTAAACTCTGGGTAGGCTGGGCTGCAAGAAATGTCGGGATGTCCGAGATACGCTGGGCAAAGCTATTCATTGCAGCACTAAGGAAGACAGCTGTTTCTGACTTGGTGCTTTTTCAAAATGTGGTTGAAATATTAAACTGCTCTAGATGGGGGCTGAAAATTAAATGCTTACATCTTTTTCAGAGATTACATAGCAGTAACTAAGCTTGGATCTCAGGCCCTGTACAATGAGACTGTGGAAATGAGAGTATGTAGAGCAAAAATCAATAATCATGAGGATATGATAAGAACACAAGCAGTGCCTCTAATCCAGTTAGCAGTGGTGACTGCTAACTCTTGTGATAGATCATTTAAAAGGAGTCAAAAAACCCCTGTGTCGGCTTTTGACATGCCCAAAAAAGCAGAATCCTTCACGTTTACTATAAGTTCTGCCAAGTGCCTATTCATTTTGGGAGCAGCTTTGGAATTTGCCCTTTGGAAAGAGAAAAAAAAAAAAAAAAAAAAAAATGGCCTTTTGGTAAACCAGCAAGAAGACTCTCTTATGTTATCTATCCCTTCTTGGCTGTGTCTTTTATTCGCTTCGTACGGTCAGGGGCTGTGCTGAACATATAACAAGGGTCTGAAAAAGAGGAGGGAGAAGTTTTGTTCATTTTTCTCCTGCGAGTGACCGTTGTGACTTCTGCTGTAATTCTGCCATCTTAGATCTCAAGCAACGTAACTGCGAGGGATGCGAAGAAGAGGTGATGGTAAGTGCAAGGCACGCTTGCAAGCTCCACGCCTTTGGGTTTGCAACCATTTCTGGCTAAAAGGCGGCTGGGCAGGGCCGGAGCAGGGACACGGGTGAGCGGGGCCACACTCCCGCAGGTCTGCCCTCTGACTCTGGAGGTCACCGGGGGAGGTGACCCGCTTGCTGGGTGAGGGTTGCTCCCCTCAAGCGCAGGTGTGAATTTCTGGGGGGCGGGAGGGAGAGCATCGAGGGGGGCGTTTGGAGCTGTTCCAGTTTTACCCTTGGTGGGGTTGCGTGTGCGCGCACGGGGGGGACAATCCCGCCTTCCCTGCTCCTCTCCTTACCTCAGCCACCCTCTGCTAGAGAACCCCGCCATGCATAAGCACAAAACAGGGGCAAAACCTCCCCTCTCGCCCCGCCAGGGCGGAGAGATCCCGTTGCTCGCGGGGAGCCTGAACCACAGCCGGGCTCTGGCCGTGGGGGGGTGCGTGTGTGAGGGGAGTGTCCTGCCCCCGCGGGGGCAGGCCCGGGACGCCGTGTGGGGTGTCCTGCCCCCGCGGGGGCAGGCCCGGGATGGCGGCGGGAGGGTCCGGGCGATGCCCTCCTCCCGCGACGGCGGCGGGGCCGGGCCGGGCCGGGCCGGTCCCTCCCCCGCCACATCGCCCTCCCGCCGGCGCTGCTGACGTGTCTGCTCCCTCCCCGCCGCCGGCGCCCGCCAACATGGCCGCAGCCCCGCCGCCGGACCCCCGGCTGCTCCTCGCCTTGCTGCTGCTCCTGCCCCCGCCGCCCCCCTCCTTCCTCAGCGCCGCCGGGACCGACCTGGGCCGCCGCTTCGCCGAGCGCAAGCGCTGCGCCGACCCCGAGTGCAGTAGTGAGTGGGGGCGGCGGGGACGCGCCGCGCCCCGGGAGGGTTTTGGGGGGGTGTGGGGTGTGGGGGGGATGTGTGTGTGGTGTGGGCTGGGGACCCTGGCGCGGGGGTGCGGGAGGTGCCCGCCCGCTTCCCGGCGCGCCCCCCCCCCCCCACCCCCCACCCCCTTTCCCCTCGGGAAATTGTCACGGGAAAAAATGCGAGCGTGGCGTGGCTCACGGGGGCATTTCCCCACAGCCCCGCTGGCGCGGAAATGGGGGAGAATCGGGGAAACGCGACCGCGGTGCCGGAGCGCGTCGTTCCTCTCCTCCCGGCCAAGTTTTCAGAGCCCCCCCCCCCCCCCCCGGCAAAGCCCCCCTTGCAATAAACCCGCTCTCTGGGCGTTGTTTCTGCGTGGAACAATTTCAGGGCTGGTTCTCTAGGACACAGATGTCATCTTTCAGCCCGTCTAATTTAACACTAATAATTAGCTTCCTAGCGCACTTCTGAAACGTAATTCTCAAGTGCTTTCTCAAACGTTTGTCTGGATCAGTGAACTTGCTGTTTTTTTAAAAAAATCATCTCTTATTCTAGTTACGCTTTCAGTTAAGTTCTTATCTCTTGACCCAATCTGGAAAATAGGAAACTGGTGTGCTCGGAGAGGTCTTGTTTTCTGCCAGTTGTCAAAGCCCCTGTTCATGAAACTCTTTTATTGTCATTATTTTTCAAGTAATGCTCTTTTTTTTTGTTGTTGTTTTCTTTGGACAGTGTTAATGTGCCGAGGGAAGGCGATGCAGGATTTTAAAGGTCCAGATTGTCGCTTTGTAAATTTTAAGAAGGGAGAAGCCGTGTACGTATATTATAAACTAATTGGAAAATCAACCGAGCTTTGGGCTGGAAGTGTGAGTACTGTAAAGCATTTGTTCTACTTGCTCTTCTTGTCACTTTCTGTTGGTAGTCTTTTTTCCTTCCTTTTGCCTCGTAGGAGAACACTTAGGGCTTTAAACATAGCTAAATTATATAATGAATGCCATTTTGTCTTGACATCAGTGTGAAATGGGATGCGGTTTGATCAAACCTAAGGCATTAAGTGCTGTGAAAAATGGGCAATGCTAATGTGTGCTAAAAACTGTTAGAAAACTGCATTTGTGTTGAAAACCTCCCACTGCAGCACTGTAAGTGGTGGCCCATGAGCCTGCCTGGAAGCTGAGTCTCCCTTCCCATCCAGGGAGGCTTAAGCCTGCGCTTGTGTTTACCCACGATGTGGTC